GTGGCAAAGAAAACAATCATCACACAGAAGAAAAAGTTGTAAGTACAACTCCTCCGGTTTCATATGCAAAAAAAATTATTGCGCTAGCTCACGTGGTTGCAGAGCTACTGGGATTCAAAAATAGTTACGCAAAACAGAGCGTGCCCGCTCCAACCGGCTTTAAAGGGTTAAAGTGTTTTGATACATCTTGATCATCTTGACTGGAGAGCCTGGCTTTATTGATCCTCCAGGTTCTAACAAACAGTTTTCATATTCACAATAATGTGGCCTTACCCTTCTGTTTCTCTTCTTCCTCCACCTGAGCTGACAGTTCGGTTGGACTGGGGATTCCCAGTGATGTCTCAGCCTTCTCGATCACCTGAGTGATACCTTGGCCTAAACAGACAGAAGACATCAGTACATAGAGCAGAGAAGCTTTAACAGTAACAGACTAAAAAAGGCCAAAGCAAGACTACGTTTAAACAACAAATGACTTGGTGTTGTACTATTTTTCAAAGGAGCCAACTGTGTACTTGTAAAGACTGAGTGATGTGTTGGATACTCACCCACAGTGGTCACAGTAGCTGTTGCTGTGGATAAGATGGATTTGCCCCAGCTGCCCCAGTAACCCCAGCCACCCTGAGACACGGTCGACTGATTGGATGTCTGAGAATGAGGACAGAAGGAGAAAGAAGAAAAGACACAAAACAGACGTTGTGAATGAGTAAAACAGAAACATGACTTCAACAAGTGCCTTTTAGTGGTTTCACAGAAAAATCCACTGACACATTAAAGATGATGACAAACGCAGCTTGTTTAAAACTCACATTTCACACAAGAATAACTATCCAACACATCAGACCATTTAGTCTAAGCCCATTAGGTGGTTAAATGATCCAATAGATAATTTGATGACATTACACATCAGCAGGGTCATTACGAATCTCATGTGAAAGTGTTATTGCACCCACGCTCATCAGGTATCACACTTCCCTGTGAGATAGTTTACTACCGACCTGAGAGAGAGTGGCGTTCCGTCTCATCAGTCCTTTGGTCTTTTTAAAGCCAGGATCACCTTCTGCTATCACGTCCATCGTCTTCTTCCCAATGAACTCAAGAGCATCTAGACCTCCTGTTATCACGGTCTTACCCTGTGAGGAAGCCCAGTTTAAACTTTTCTTTAAAATGTGAGCTAAAATAAATTCCTAACTTTTGTCAGGTGAGAACAGTCGCACCAACACACAGGTGCTCTCTGGTTTTAACCATCAGCTTACCGTGCTCTGGACGACGCTACTGAGTGACGACAACATTCCCATCGCACTTCCCACTGCTGACGATTCATCTACTGCTTTGTCGGGCTCTGTGCTGGTGCCATCTACAGGAGAAGACACTAACGACATAAAAATCCATGTCCAAGGATTACACGAGAGAAAAAAAAGATCATTAAAATGGGTCAATTCAATTAATTTCATTTTTATTTGGACAAATATTTCCTTCACAAAGCTATGGGACTTGAAGGAACTCAGTAGCCTAAGGATGTTTAAATCAAAATGAAAGTAAAACTCTATTAACCCTTTAAAGCCGGTCAGAGCAGCACGCTCCGTTTTGCGCAACTA